GGAATTCCGTTGATTGCATAAGCATAGTCAGCTGTAAATTTCCTGAGGGCAGCTTTGAACTTATAGAGCGAGGCTTCCGATGTTAGACTGGGGGGTAAACAGTTCCATAGAATAGCAGTTCGGAACATGAAGAGAGACTTAGACAATGATTTAAATTTGGGAAGAATGATTTTATTTGGTCGTCGCTCACTATTCGTAATCTTGAAATGGAAATCAGCAAGGTAATCACGATGACGGAAAACATATCTGTGAAAAGTAGTGAGACTGATGATTTGACGACGATAGGCTAGTGACTCTAGGGAGCGTTTAGAATTTAAGACAGATTTGGAAGAAGTGTAATCAAATGCAATTTTTTTCTTTTTCAGTAGAGCTCTAGCAAACCTTGCCTGTAATTGATCAAGAGTGGCCATGGGTTTCTTATTAGATCCGATGAATCCAACAAAACAGGTATATAGCATGGAGTTAGCATATCATGAATTCATTACATCTGGATTTTTACTAGGACACACACCGTACGATATTTAAAAGCCAACAAAAAAAGAAAAAGAACACAAGACAAAGGCATGCCCGGGAGGCAAGATTATAAGTTTAAGGTCATGATCGGCACACTGTGAAACTACACAATCATGTTTTTACAACTTCGCATATTATTGGTACTACTACTTGACCAGGCAGGCACAGTGGGTTGGTCAAAGACCATGATTGAGATACGAGAGGTACCTGGTTCAAGTCCTGCCTGGGAGCGGTTTTTCCAGCTGTGCTGCTACCCACAGTCAACTGGGAACTTGTGGCCAGGCACAAGGGGTACATGGATGCAGCTAATGGGGTCGTTTTCGGCACTTGTGCCAGTGGTTGTTAGGCTTACCCACTCACCCCCACCGTTAGGCGCTGCATCTGCCGCTAGGGTTTATCGGGTGTTAGCGGCCGTCGTGAGTTCCCTTCGGGAACGGATACGATAATTTACTTTACTTTTTACTACTTTCTTGTTTTTTTCCGGTCGGAGGCAAAAAGGTAGGCGGGCGCGGACGTTAAACAACGAAAAAAGAAAGGGGTGGCCTAATCTCCGTATCACAATAACGGGCTCAGACATATTTCCCTAGCCATTGGCCTGCTGGAAAAAGCTGAAAATCACTTGTGTGTGTGGAATTGTGCGTACGGGGTATAGTCGTACGGTATACCAGAATTCGTACGGTATCGCTAATTATTCTCTTCTGTGGTGAATTGATCTCATTCAGCAGGATACACTGTGCAGGCAACATCCAGAAGGATATGCAGCTCCTTTCAGGCTTTTGATTCAAGGAGAGCTCACTATCCCACCACTGCACTAGTACTCTACTGCGCCACATAAAAAATACTGTACATTAAACCTTAGACCTTCAGCAAAACAAAAAATGACAACAGACTACCGCGAAATAAATCTACTAAACAAAACAATGGGGAACAACAGAACGACGAGAAGAGCAACAGAACGACAACAACCAAACCCAACAACAGAGCAAAAAGCAACCAACTGAGAAGGGAGAGAAACACGATCAAACAACACAGTGAGCAAGACAAAAACAAGACGAACAACAAAGGACGACACACAGTCCGTGATGCAAGACTTGTCCACTGGCCTCTGGCGAGCCACAGCCACACGCTCCATGCGATACCTGCCATCTCAGGCTCCAGTCCCCAGCCTCAGTTTCAGTCCACCACCTCCTCTGCCTCCTTTCCATCGTCTTGCTCTCCCACCAGCTCCTCATCTCCTCCGCTCCTACGCTTACTTTTACTTGTTGTTGTATTCTTTTATTTCAATTCGTTCAGGGCACAGGCAATCCTGCCTTCTCACCGGAGAGGGGATTCTCCGATTCCTACCAAAAGCGAGAAATCTGCGATACACAAGAGAGAGAGTTTGGAAGCTTTGTCACAACTCCGAGTTTCACGTATCTCTACGATCATCAGGCAACTGATGGATCCAAAACGGGCAGCCAGAACATAAGGGGGAGCAAGGTGGGAAATTCCGAGGGGTGTCATAGGCGACGCGTATCATAGCGAAATCTGCGATATGAATATATATGAGAAAGATATGAGAAAATGAATAATGATGATGACGGATTACGATAGTTTAGTTCTTATGCGAGATTTCCCTGACGATTACAGATAAAGCGTTTCTGGAGACAAATGTCCAGAAAGGATGCGAGAACAAAAATACAGCGTTCCGGAAGGCAATGGTGCACATAAATAGAGCATAAGGCAATGGTGCAGAAAAGAGGTGAGAACTTACAAACAAGGCAATCGTGCAGAAAAAGAAGGTACTGAAGCACTAGCGGTTCTAGAGGCTAAGACACAAAGAGGTAGGGACCAGCGACTTCAAAGTTACTTAGTTGTTGACGACGACGACGACGAACAGACTCACTACAGACTAACTCATCCTCTACGACCCGGGTTTCGGCACCACGTTGTAACGGAATCACAGCCATTCCGTTCCCCGGGACGCAGGACGCAAAGGACAAGACTGGTTTTGTTTTACATTATATATTTTGACATTACGGAAACGAAGACTACACTGAAAGGGACGAACAGGAAGACTGACAAAAGGCTTCTCGACTACGAAATCACGCATGCTCATAGTCATATCACACATGCACGCGACTAGACGAGACAGTTCGGGGAATGCCATCACACAGGAAAAAAACACATCATTTTCACAACAAGCAGCTCACCACACGTGCCACACATACTGATGACACTCGGGTCTTTTCCCCTCTCCCAAGGGACCAAACACGGTCAGTTTCTGGAACTTACTACCAGAGATGAAAGAAAGTGATCAATTTTGAGAGGATTGAGAGAACTCCAAATTCAAAGAACCAGTTGAGGGAGTGAACTGCCTGGAAAGAGAAAAAATGCCAGACCCACCAGGACTACATCCCCGACTCTACATGTACATGTAGCTAGTCATTAGCTCTATCCATCACTGCATCAGAGCTATGGGACCAGGCCGAACCGAGAAGGCGCTGACACGTTTTTCACTCCAAAGGCAGCTCACAACACGCGCCCCACATACTAATGGCATTTTGGGTCTTTTCCCTCCTCCAGAAAAAATGCCAGACCCGCCAGGCTCCGTTTTCAGGCAGCTCACTTCTCTTTCCAGACAGTTCACTTCCCCGGATGATCCTATGAATTTGGAGTTCTCCCAATCCTCTCAAAATTGATCACATTCTTTCACCTCTGGTAGTAAGTTCTAGAAACTGACCCTGGTCGGTCCCCTGCGAGAGGGAAAAGAGCCAAGTGCCATCAGTATAATTATGTGGCACGTGTTGTGAGCTGCCTTTGGGTTGAAAACCTTGTCAGCGCCTTTTAGGTTCAGCCTTAACCACGAACAATGTACAGTATAAACGTTCCCTGTTTACATTACCAGAGCAGTGCAACCGTACAAGTCATTAGCCATCATCCGGGGTTGGTGGGTGAGGTGCTTATGGACGTCTTTCTTGAAGGTGTGGAGCCGCTTCAAGCTGAGTGGTGCCCTAACCATTTTTCGCTTGGCTAGCTGTTCCATACCGAAGCGATAGAAAACGGGAAGGAGCGAGAAGCATAAGCTGCTATACCCCGTGCCACACCTGCAATGTTCTTCTGCACATTCACTGCTTCTAACCTTTCCATGACAGCAGCTGAAAAATTATGCTCAAATTTCCAATTCTTGCTGAAAATGGGTATTCATCAGAAATATTATCGCCCTATGAATCTAAAATGTAAACATTCATGCCTCAAACATATTTACAACTTCCATGAAAACCATTATGCCGTTATTCTTGGTCGTGACGACCAAAAACAACGGCATAAAAGGCACACATTTTCAAATCGGGCCTATACTCGTATACAGGATTTTGGCCAGCAAATTAAGAGATAAAATCAGCATTTGCCAAATGGAATAAAGAAGGAGGCACGAGCGGGAATGAGGTGCTTATACGCATGCAACTACAGAAAAGGCGAAACAGAAAATATCAAAACAGTCCAAAAAAAAGTCAGTACCGTCGGTCAGTGTCATGCAATGTTATCCCATGAGCTTAGTGTTTAGTAACTGGGTGTGTTAGTGGACATTGTAGCGTAACTTGTAGGTTCTTGGTCCTTCTTTCTTCACTATAAAAATAAAAGAACGGTCAACAATTTACTTCAACAAATAAAACTCGAAAACTGCTGAGTACTGTACTGTAATATTGATACAGCTCTGACATTGTACAGACAGTTGACGTAGGCCTACGGAGTGTCAAAAGCCGCGGACATGCATGATTGTACTTGACTATAATACGACAATTTTTTTCTTTTTTGTTGCAGCTTCAATGCAAGAGGAACAATGCCCTCATTCAAATACTGCAGAATAGATATCATGCACCGACCTATCACAAGTTACCTAGTGCCATGCATGGGGATTATTGAAACACGATTTGTAATACGAAATAATGGTTACGATTTATAATCCAGGTATTAAGCGCTCTTCGGACAGTGAAGCACACTACATGTACTCGATTACGCAGCTTACAATTTCTCTTGCGTAATACAAAATTAAAAATGTCACGGTTCGCGTGAGACTCGGCTGGAAGCCGGGTTTTCCGCATCCGTAGGAACGCCACCACCCTTCAAGGATCAAGGCGTAATACTGTATAATACAGAGTAACGAAATAACATACTAGAGTACATAAAGTTGTGTCCATTGCTCACACCTCATTATGCCTTCGGAAAGGCTGATGGGTCTTACAATGTACACTGTAGTGCACTGGATGCAAGGGATTTATTGCTATTGGCACTCAACACAAACTCTATTTGGAAGGCTAATGAGGCTTATGTCACGACAAAAAAATGATGATCTAAAACGTCATTACAGGGACAAGGGTAATATTATACATATGATGGATGCTAACACAGAAAACGTTTAGTAAAGATAGTCAGACAAGCGATCATTAATGGCATCTAACATGGCCTTCTTTAGCTGGTCCTTCATCTTCCGAACTTCTTCCATTATCTCAGTCTTCCTCCTCTGGATATTGGCCCTCAATGGCATCTAACAATTCCTTCTTTAGATCGGCCATCATCTGCTTAACTTCTTCCATTATTTCAGCTTTCATGTTCTGGAGCTCGGTGGCAGTGACAGGTTTCGCGGCTTTGGCAGCTGCTCTTACCTCGGATGGCTTTCTTGCCTTTGGCTCCTGTGGTTCTTCTTTCGGCTTCTCGTTCTTCGTAGCTACGACGGGCTTAGGAGCTGTGGCGGGCTTAGGAGCTACTGCTGGCGCTGGTTGATCGGCTTGGCCACCGTAATCATCCTCATATTCGGCCGCTCTGTCATCTTCGTCTTCGCTTTGAGGATGAACGCGCAGATTTCTCATTCTGATATTTTCGTTAAGCTGATCTATCATTGTCTGCGCCGTCCTCGCCTGCTTGAGCGCCTGGGCTTGTTTGGCTGTCTTCTTGATCTTCAATTGAAGATCCGGGACATCGAAGAGATCGGCTGGAAGCGGTGGCGGCGGCGCCGGCGGACCACTTGCGGGAACCGGGGGTGGAGCCAGAGCTGCTGGTGCAGGAGATGGTGAAGAATCGACAACGAGCGGAACTGGCGCAGGTGCTGGTCTTGCCAGTTCCGCCAGGGCCCTGGCAACTGGACCTAGGCTTTCGGGGCGCGATTGGCTCTTGGGCGTGGAATCAGGAACTGGGCTTCCGGGGAGTGGCGACGGTAAACTAGAGGTTTCCATTCTATGTGATGTTATGGCCGACGATGCACCAGCAACAGCAGATTCTTCAGGTACGTTAGTAGCATCAAGATCGACTTGTGAGGCTACAATTGCAATCTGTGTCGTGCGCTCTGCTGTGAGGGTGGTAGAGAAGTTATCTGGCTGAGCGGTTAATTGTGATAGCCGTTGCGCATGGCGCTCCTTTTTCGGCAATGGAATGGGCCTGAGCTGTTCACACTCGGGAATATGTACACGTATCGGTCTTAGAACGGCTGCTTCCAATCTTTTTTGGGCTATAATTGCTGCTGGTACAAGTCCACCATCCGGTGCAACACCAGTTTCTGTTGCTGCAGCTACTGCTGCTGCTGCTGATGATGATGATGAGCAGCCTCCTGTTCCAGGTGGCTGTGGGGCGGCACGTTTCTGACGGCGGGAACTGGCACCTGATGACCCGGCCGATGCGGCTGTAGATTCTTCATCCACCCGTGCTCGATACTGCTTAACATGCTTGAGAAACTCGGCGGTGTCTTCGTCCGTTTGGAACCTAAATCCAAGGATGTGCCCCGAAACGTCCTTGAACTGGTGAAATCTGTCCACCGGTTGAGTATAGCCGCATCCCTTGACATTCTGCGTAAGCGTTATTGCGCCAGTAGCGGGGTCCTTGGCCAGGAGTGTTGCTTCCTTCCTATCCGAGTCGTAGACGAGGGACACTTCGCTTGGATCTGCACACGCAGAATGCAACACCCAGATAGGGTTCTGGTACACCATGACCTTGGCCTTGGTCTTTACAATGCGCCTGATCCCCATTTTCGCTTCAGTCTTCGGTGGCCTGACAGATTCTGAAAGCGAATTTCTCGCCTGGTCTGAAGAGGGCAGACAGTGTGAATGTGTATCAACGTGTGGACGATGCTGGTGAGTAAACGAGTACAACCGCATCATACAACCACATCATACAACCACATCATACAACCCTTATTGTACGCCATTGTGCTGCTTGCATGTACGGGTACATGTATGAAGAGCGGTGTGTCATCTCCACCATACTCTGGTGTGCTCGCAGAGTGCCAGGTTACTACCCACTACAGAGTCCGGCACGTACAGACGCGTATGGCAGATCATACGATCAGTGCAGGGAGTTGTATAGAACATGTATACAACTCCCTGGATCGGTGCCATTACCGTAAAAATGAAACCTTTCTTTCACTGCAAGTCTATGACATCATACTTCCCACTGACTGCCGTCAGGCCCCGTCTCTTACTCTGTATGTAAACATGGAAACAATTCACCTAGGGTTCCCAGTAAAAAGGCAATGCATGTTGGGACTCCCCTAGTATAATAATAAATCTACTACTGCTACTACTACTATACTACCCACCTGTACAATCCAGGACTCTTGCTGCTATCGACTGCTCTCATAAAAATGAAAGCTGGATAAATGTAGCCATATCAAACAAAGCACCCAAGTAAATTGGTTGGGTTATTGTTGTTTCGAGTTTTCGAAGTGAACCGTGGCCGTCCTGTGCCATGGTCCTTAGTCCTTCGTCATCACTTTGTCATAGCTATCATTCTTATTTCGCTGTGATGTTTAGCTTGTTCTCGTCTTGAGTGCGTTCACCTTCCCCCGTTCTTATGATATTTCATAACAGTACCTTCCAAGTGATAGTTAGAGGGCTCTTGGTTTGCGCATTCTAGACGGGATGCGGTACTACTAGCTTTTTCTTACTTCATCATAGGTACATGCATTGCTGCTTTCTTGCTGTGGATCATGAATGATGCCACAGTTCCTAGGCAATAATAAAAATGGAAAAAGATCTTATAACATCTTGTACAACGCTCACTGCTCTTGGAGCATTTCGAGCACTCTTGGCGGGGTTTGCAGCTCTTTATAAAAATGCTTTGCTTCACGGAAACGTATTTCATTGCGAAGAGCTGCGCTTCGGTCCTCTGAGCTGTGCTGAGGAGCTCTAACAGAGCGAAACAGTTGCTGTCCACAGATTTGAAAAAAACATCTTATTCATCTACTCAGCTAGTGCAGCATCAAGGCACAAAACTGACAAATACAATTATTATAGCATTCAATGACCTGGCACCTAGCTCCAACACATCTAAGAAGCGCAAACCAACACTTCTCATCCTAACTGCACAGAATGGAGACCCGTCGATAGTCCTAAACGGCCTCTGGGGAATCCTTTAAATTAATTATACAAATACAAACAACCGTCCAGCTTGGAAGGCTCATGTGCGGAAAGTTCCAATGAGGGCAAGGGATGCGCCACGAAGGTGTGCACGAGCAAAGAATGTGAAACGTTGCCAAATGATAATGGCGAGACTAGTAAGACCATTGGACGAACCGATCTACTACAAGTCGACCACGCAAGGCAACAGACCACCCAACATCTTCGCCTTCCAAGTTGGAAGGTTGTTGGTTTGCGCTTCGTAGATGTGTTGGCTCTAGGTGTTAGGTGGTTGAATGTCTCAATATCATTCGACCCTAGCGTACCTTGCCTGCTTTTCGCGCTAGCTGCTCACAATATCTCCTTGAGCACCCTGTAAGAAGGCCATAGGCCTGTTGGGTATACCCAAGTAAAATAATATAAACTACTACTACTACATGATTGTACTACTGCTACCACTATCCCTGTCCGTCTTGTGCCTTGTTGTCGCACTACTTCACTGTGTAAGATATAGCTACCTTGGCGGACTTTTAGTTATGAGTCGTAACTTATTTGTCCTTTCTCTTCTATTAAATAGTTAATAACTCAACATCCGAGGTATTGTATTTTTATTTCGTTAGTTCATTGGTTTGACGGAAAGGTGCGATTATTATGTCGGCATCAATTGTTTTATTCATACCTTTGGAATTTCTTTCTCCGAAACGGCTTTCATTCTTCCGTTATGGTAATAACATACATATCGGTGCGAAGGTGAGCGCAACCAGGACAAGCACAAGCTGAAAGTCGGTGAAGGACGTTGGCGGAAGCACATTATTATTACCATGGCGTAGAACTTAGATCTTAGAAGTAACTGGTGGTGTTAGTGGATATTCTAGCATACATGTACCGCAACCCTGCGGACAGCATGCTGTTTCGTTCTTTGTGAACTCATCAGCGCAGCACAGAGGAAATGAGGCCGAACCTGATGGCAAAGAAAACAAAAAAATTCCAATCAGGCCCGAACGTACCTTGACGGAGTGCTCAAACTGACAAGTCAGTGAGCTCTGCTTAATGCACACAGCAAAGGCACTACCCGACATAAGAGTGCTCAACTACTACAAGAGCAGGAGCGAAGATCGTACATGTACCTTGCACCTCTTTGGTCCCCTTTTCGTCTTATCCGTGGCTCTCCAACCGAGTCTACTAACTTTGAACATTCGGATTTTCGGTCGTCGACGACCCGTGCATTTTGGAACACTCACAGCGGGAAGGCGGCTTAGCCAATAACATAAATGCAGTCAAATGCCTGTAACATTGGCATCCCTCATTGTGTTTGCACCAAATGTTCCACACGTGCTGGTCAGATAACGAGAGAGCTTGGAAGCTCAGGGCCCTACGCTATGCTTTTTTGACTAGCTCATCATGCATGATAGTAGAACCGCACCTTCGGCTCTCTACTACTCTAGCACTGAGTTTGAGAGTGATAGAGAGCGTTGGAACGGAGCTTCGAGCCTACACAATGAGCGAGTGAACAAGCAGCTGCTCCGATAGCACGGCGCAATCAAAAAATTCTGAATTCATGTTCTTGTTCAACCTGCGCAAAGCCCAGATTCGAATGCTGATTGACCATGCATTCTTTCAGAAGTCTGTAGTCCGACGTGAGTTTCGTGGCTAAGGAAAGTTGTTCTAAGCGTTTAGATATAATACATCAAAATCCATCACGAAGTTTTTGTTAACGGAGGAAGTTTTTGTGGACCCTTTCTAGCGCCAGACGTTACTGCACTATCGCCCTGCATGCATTGCCCCGATACACTTTGCATACATTATGCCAGGCCTCTACAGTCTCTCATTTCATGGTGCTGACCGCTTTACGGTTGGTTCACATATCGCCGGTACGCGCCGGGAGTCATCGGGAACCTCTCCCGGCGCATTGCGATTATGTGAACCAGTGCAGTCGTAACAAAATCATACAGTAAAATATCGCATGGGACCGCCGGCAAAGTTGGACAGTGCCCAATTTTTGCGATTTGATTGATTGATTGATTTTTATTTCACGGATCCTCCAGAGGCAAATAGATGCCTATCGAAGGGAGTCTCCTAAGTAAGTATGGAAAATGAGAAAGTATGTTCGTAGGGGAGAAGAAGTGGAAGATACATTAGAATATAGAGTACAAAGAAGTAAATTCAGTACTTCGGGTAGTACATTGCATTGAGAATTAGAAAAGCAGCATTGCGGACTACTATAACTGACATATACACAAACTATTGAAACTATCATACATGTGGTTAGCTTAGACATAAAAGTCAGGAATACCTTTCAAAGAAAACATAGATTGCGAATGATACCGACGAACAGCAATGCTGTTGTAGAGAGTGAACGAATATCTTCAGGAAGTTTATTCCAAGCAACACTCAAAGAAAAAAGGGTTGATTTATGAAAGTAGGTGCCAGCTTTAGGAAGAATTATGGATGAGGGGATCTGCCCCGGCACCGATCCCGTACGATTTTGACCAAAAGTGGTTTGTGAACCGTTTGCGCCGGTGATCGCCGGCTGCCGGAAGCCAGGCTTTGTCTAAATTTCAAACCAAGGCTCGTCCTAAATTTTCCTAAATTGAAGCTAGAGATGAGGTTCGTTCGCCATTCTTGTAATCGCTTGAAGGTGGCAAATAAGTCAGCATACCAACCCGTCCTTCTCGGATGATCTGCTTGACTGTTGTGCAACTTATGAGACAAAATTAATACAATTGAAACAAATAAAAAATACGATGGATACATTGACAAGTTCTTGTGACTTCATCAACGTTTACATGCATAATTTCGACGCCATTGTTTACTACACTGCAATACAATGTGTAGAAGCAGTTTCATGATCTCCAATAAAAGGTAGCACCCAGTGGCCATCACCTTGAACCTTGAACTACTGAAGAAACAAAGAATTCAAGCTTCAATTGGCAAACCTGTCGTAGCATTTCGGCACATTCTGTACTACTTTGTAGTAGATTTGGTACTCGAACCGTATGCGCAACGGATCGGGAGCTGGCTCACCGCCGATGTCTTCCGATGTCTTGCGATGTCTTGCGGCGCCGATTTTGCTTATGTGAACCAACTGCTATACATTATACTCCTTCTCTTGATGGTACGGTACGGGACAGATACGGGATAGCGCCAGGCGTGCACGACACAAACAAACGAAAAAGCTGTGTGGACCCTGGCTAGCGCCAGACGTTACTGAAGTAACGTCTTCTGCATAGCTACGGGAATTAAAGCTGTGTGGACCCTGGCTAGCGCAAGACGTTACTGAAGTAACGTCTTCTGCATAGCTACGGGAATAAAGAACACTTGAACAACCACCACACATGCATTTCGACATGGAGAACAGGATGCTGGACACGCCAAACAAGAAAACCGCAAAAATGCGGTCAACATTTTTTTGGCACAAGTTTTCTGCAAGGCTTTTAGCAATAGCCAGTAGGCATGGGTGGGTAATGCTAGCATTATGGCTGGCATTATAGTCCCTTTTTCCAGGTGGCATAATGCTGACATTATAAAACCATTTCGCATGCAAAATTGGCATTTCAAGCATAAAAATTGCCGGTCGACAACGGTGTCATGCATGAAGCTGGCTAGGTTCAGTTCCGAAAATCGTGCATCTG